TTGAACCATGTTATGAAGGCAGAATTGCATTACTGTCGGTTTTTCATAAGCAAAAACTCAGAATGAAAAGTGTATTCCACATGTCTCAATCAATAAATACACAAAACATGTTCAACACAACTTAATAAAAGTACCTGATCAAAAAAAAACTTGATAAAAGTAACTAATATAGCAGTGTTTCAAAACATCAAGAGAAAAAAATTGTAGTTATGTTTTGCAGCTTTGTTAGATGGAAAACCCCACTAAAAGCATAAGCAGAAAACCAGCAATATGATCAGCAGAGACAATAAATTTAAATGAACAAGAAAAAGGTCAACTTCTGGGCAACATTTTTTATCAGCACAGAGATAATAAATTCGAATTAAAACAAAAAGTGAATTTCTGGAAGATATATGCCCATCACGGACACAAACAACTTCAATTTTTTTATTAAAAAAAAATATGGGAGGCAATTGTAGTTCTTTCAAGGCAAGCAACGATGATCAAAACCAAAGAATACTAAATTGAGGAGTTGTTCTTCAGACATATACTAACTTCAGCTAAAGACATAGGAAAATCCAAAAAAAATATAGACAAATAATTTCATAAGAACAAGACATTGGACCTTCTCATGGTTATATTAGGATTATAAATAATTGATGTCACTAACTAGCGCAAAACAAGCTAATAAGACAAGCTTGGATGTTTTGATTCTGCCTGTCCATTGTAGTGCTAATTTGGAAGAAAATAAAAAACAATGTTAAGGTTCAATTGCAGCGTTTATGGTACACAACTGGGTTGTCCAAGTCGTTACATATTGCCCTGCAAGCCACGGAGAAGAGCCCTTTCTCTCACAGTATCTACATCACATGGGACCGAAGCTTTTTGAGAACAAATCTTCTAGGAAGCAAATGCATTTTCTATATAAAGATCTATATCTCAAAAGGAATGTACTTCCATATTCAGCAGTGAGAAAATCATAGTTATCATCATTCAACTAGCACATGATGGCTTCATCACTTGAAACAAAATTCATTGCTGCGGCATTGATAGTACTCGGGATGTGGGCTTCTCAGGCTGCATCCCGCACACTACCTGAAGCGTCCATCTCGGAGAGACATGAGCAATGGATGGCTCGCTATGGACGTGTTTACAAGAACATTGCAGAGAAGGAAAGACGTCTCATGATATTCAAGGAGAACGTGGAGTTCATAGAATCTTTCAACAGTGCTGAGAATCGACCTTACAAGTTGAGCATCAATGAATTTGCAGATCAGACAAATGAGGAGTTTAAGGCCTCTCGCAATGGACTCAAGATGCCATCCAATCGAAAGTCACTGAAAACTACTTCATTTAAGTATGAAAATGTGACTGCAATACCAACTAGCATGGACTGGAGGAAGAAAGGAGCGGTTACCCCTATTAAGGATCAAGGTCAATGTGGTAAGGAATACCTCTTTTCTCGACTTACTCTGCAAATACCATTTTCAAATACATATATAGTTTTTTGTACTTACAGAAACAGTCTTTCCATGTACGTGGTGAAACTGACTATATCTGATCATTCCTGTATTAAGCAGTGGCTTTCCATATAATTTTTTCTCACTACAACTCTTTATGAACAGGAAGTTGTTGGGCGTTTTCAACCATAGCAGCCACGGAAGGAATAACCAAACTTACCACGGGTAAATTGATCTCACTGTCCGAGCAGGAGCTAGTGGACTGTGACATAGGCGGTGAAGATGCAGGATGTGAGGGTGGTTTAATGGAAGATGGATTTGAATTTATTGTGAAGAACAAAGGCATTGCCACTGAATCAACTTATCCATACAAGGCAACTGATGGAACTTGCAACACTAAGGAAGAAGCTTCTCGTGCTGCCAAGATCAAGGGTTATGAGAATGTTCCCGCCAACAGTGAGAAGGCTCTGCTGAAGGCTGTGGCTAATCAACCAAGTTCTGTTTCCATTGATGCAAGTGGAGCTGCGTTCCAATTTTACTCAAGTGAGGTTTTCACAGGAGATTGTGGAACTGATCTAGATCATGGTGTTACGGCAGTTGGGTATGGGACTACTGCTGATGGTACAAAGTATTGGTTAGTGAAGAACTCATGGGGTACCAGTTGGGGAGATGAAGGATACATAATGATGCAAAGAGATATCGAAGCCAAAGAAGGCCTCTGTGGGATTGCTATGGATTCTTCCTATCCAACAGCTTAGATATCAGCATATGATCTGTGAATCTTTATCTGGTATTTGCTATGGTCTCAGACAAATCTACTTGTGTAAGTGTGTGGTGCTACCTACAAGTTAGCCCTGTAAATGATGCTATGCAGCTCTTATATATGTGTATAAATTTATATAATGAAGGTGCATAGAGCAGTCTTGTTCATTGCAATTGTTGTTCAAAATTTGCCAGCTATGGGGTTAAACAAAATAAGTTAATCGACACTATTCCCCAACCTGAACGTAGTCCCCTTTCGTGCCCCATCCACTAAACCTCTCCCTCCCTCCGGAGCCAAGTCCACTCCGCCATCTCCTCCCTTTGTGGCGAAAACCCCTCTTGTGTGGTCGCAATCTCATTGCTCCTATCTTTCTTTCTTTTTTTGGTTTAACGGTTAGGGGTGTCAGGGGCAACTTATACGCACCTTGTCTAATCTCTTCCCCGGTCCGGACAAAGGCAAACAATCTACGCTAGGACTAGGATATTTATGAGGGATAAATCCCTCATGGTCTGGCCCCAAAAAGCTTATCAAAATTCGAACTCAGGATTTGCTCCATTCTTTCTCTCTACATATTTATGTCTTTGTAAAAGTAAACCCCTCTGCCCTTCACCACCCTCAAACGAACAATGAAAGGCGGCAAGGTTTGGTGGTGGTGGTTTTGGCAACGGTAGGCATAGAAGATGGGTTTACGTTTAAGTGGAAGGTCGGTGGACGGGGAGAGGTGTGTGCCCCAAAGAGAGTTTTTTCATATATTCTTAGTTTTCAAACTCTCAATGTTTTATATGTTTTAGTTTCAAATGGTGTTTTCAATAATTTGTTAAACTACAAGGGACACCATGTATTAAAGGTAAGAAGCTTTTTCTATAATCACATGGTCTCTACTTAAATGAACTTCGGCGGAAAGCATTGTTCAAGCCATTCCAAAACATGGCATTTCGAATCTTCACAATTCTTGGGCTAGACCCTGAGGGATTTATCCCTTATTAATACTTTAGTCTCAATGTGGATGTTCCGCCTTTGACATGACCGAGAAAAAGACTAGTTGAAGTGCGCATAAACTGACCTAGACAATCCTAACCGTTTGAACCAAAAAAAAAAAAACATGGCAGTCACATATCCTCAGAGAATAAGAGTAAAGTAATGATTATAGTACGTAAGGGACTCATTTCGTAATAAAAAGGGTTAGTCCACGAGACTTCCGTGACGGCAAAAAGCCTTACTCAGGAGGTGAGATTGTTTTCGTATTTTGAACTGGTATTGCCAACAAACCAACATTATCCTTGAATCAAAGCCCAACCTCTATATCGTGCGCATGGATTGCACCAAAAATTGAGAGCCTTAATAGTGTCAATGATATCTTATGACCTAGATTCCTGGGCTAGTATCTAGGCAACAACAGAAATCTACTACTTTGAGTAGGAGAGTTAAGCTCTATCCTATCTTCTTCTACCACATATTGCACAGGCAACAGACAAAATTACTCCAATCAATAGGAGCAAAGGCAAGGACTAAGTTATGAAAACAACGAGGCACATGGATTACAATATCGCAGACCAGTAGCAGACGATAAATATGAATTTGCTAGATCTAAAAAAGAAAAAAGTTGAACTTGGCGAGATACCAACAAAATAACGGTATTGAGGCAGCTTGGAACGATGACTCGAATGACTCATCCAAGGCGTCTACGAGTCAAGTACAAGTCTAGTGAGACTCATGTCTCACAAAGAATGTTATCGATCTCAAAACCACAGGTGTTGAGTTGAAGACGACCCGACCGAGTCATGTAGGCATCAGTTAATAGCTTGAACCATTTGCATTACTGTCAGTTTTTCATAAGCAAAAACTCAGAATGAGAAGTGTATTCCACTACAGTACAACAACCAGCCACTGCTTAGATGTCTCAATCAAGAAATACACAAAACATGTTCAACACAACTTAATAAAAGTACCTGATCAAAAAAAAACTTAATAAAAGTAACTAATATAGCAGTGTTTCAAAGCATCAAGAGATAAAAATTGTAGTTATGTTTTGCAGCTTTGTTAGATGGAAAACCCCACTAAAAGCATAAGCAGAAAACCAGCAATATGATCAGCAGAGACAATAAATTTAAATGAACAAGAAAAAGGTCAACTTCTGGGCAACATTTTTATCAGCACAGAGATAATAAATTCGAATTAAAACAAAAAGTGAATTTCTGGAAGATATATGACCATCACAGACACAAACAACTTCAATTTTTTTATTAAAAAAAAAATATGGGAGGCAATTGTAGTTCTTTCAAGGCAAGCGACGATGATCAAAACCAAAGAATACTAAATTGAGGAGTTGTTCTTCAGACATATACTAACTTCAGCTAAAGACATAGGAAAATCCAAAAAAAATATAGACAAATAATTTCATAAGAACAAGACATTGGACCTTCTCATGGTTATATTAGGATTATAAATAATTGATGTCACTAACTAGCACAAAACAAGCTAATAAGACAAGCTTGGATGTTTTGATTCTGCCTGTCCATTGTAGTGCTAATTTGGAAGAAAATAAAAAACAATGTTAAGGTTCAATTGCAGCGTTTACGGTACACCACAGGGTTGTCCAAGTCGTTACATATTGTCCTGCAAGCCACGGAGAAGAGCCCTTTCTCTCACAGTATCTACATCACATGGGACCGAAGCTTTTTGAGAACAAAACTTCTAGGAAGCAAATGCATCTTCTATATAAAGATCTATATCTCAAAAGGAATGAACTTCCATATTCGGTAGTGAGAAAATCATAGTTATCACCATTCAACTAGCACATGATGGCTTCATCACTTGAAACAAAATTCATTGCTGCAGCATTGATAATACTCGGGATGTGGGCTTCTCAGGCTGCATCCCGCACACTACCTGAAGCATCCATCTCGGAGAGACATGAGGAATGGATGGCTCACTATGGACGTGTTTACAAGAACATTGCAGAGAAGGAAAGACGTCTCATGATATTCAAGGAGAACGTGGAGTTCATAGAATCTTTCCACAGCGCTGGGAATCGAAATTACAAGTTGAGCATCAACGAATTTGCAGACCAGACAAATGAGGAGTTTAAGGCTTCTCGCAATGGACTAAAGATGCCATCCAATCGAAAGTCACTGAACACTGCTTCATTTAAGTATGAAAATGTGACTGCAGTACCAACTAGCATGGACTGGAGGAAGAAAGGAGCGGTTACCCCTATTAAGGATCAAGGTCAATGTGGTAAGCAATACCTCTTTTCTCAACTTACTTTGCAAATGTCATTTTCAAATACATATATAGTTTTTCATACTTACGGAAATAGTCTTTCCATATACGTGGTCAAACTGACTATATCTGATCATTCCTATATTACTCAGTGGCTTTCCATATAATTTTTTCTCACTACTACTCTTTTTATGAACAGGAAGTTGTTGGGCGTTTTCAACCATAGCAGCCACGGAAGGAATAACCGAACTTACCACTGGTAAATTGATCTCACTGTCAGAGCAGGAGCTAGTGGACTGTGACATAGGCGGTGAAGATGAAGGATGTGAGGGTGGTTTAATGGAAGATGGGTTTGAATTTATTGTGAAGAACAAAGGCATTGCCACCGAATCAACTTATCCATACAAAGCAACTGATGGAACTTGCAACACCAAGGAAGAAGCTTCTCATGCTGCCAAGATCAAGGGTTATGAGAATGTGCCTGCAAACAGTGAGAAGGCACTATTGAAGGCTGTAGCTAATCAGCCAATTTCTGTTTCCATTGATGCAAGTGGAGCTGCATTCCAGTTTTACTCAAGCGGGGTTTTCACAGGAGATTGTGGAACTGATCTAGACCACGGTGTTACGGCAGTTGGGTATGGGACTACTGCCGATGGCACAAAGTATTGGTTAGTCAAGAACTCATGGGGCACCAGTTGGGGAGATGAAGGATATATAATGATGCAAAGAGATATCGAAGCCAAAGAAGGCCTCTGTGGGATTGCTATGGATTCTTCCTATCCAACAGCTTAGACATTACCATAGGATGGGTGGATCTTCATCCAGATATTGTAAATGGCCTTGGCCAAATCCACTTTGTGCAAGTGCAGGGCGTTAATTGCATTTAGCTATGTAAATGATGCAATGCAGTATTGTATGTAAATTTGTGTAATGAAAGTGCAAAGTACTGAGTTCTTTGCATTTATACTCTAAGTATTTTGATTTCCAGTAAATGGCGGCATGTGAAATTCAACTAGTGCCCTATGGAAGTTGAAACCAGGCAACTCTAGGCTGGTTGATTTCCTCAGGTTCTAAATTCCGAAACAGCCTAACCATTTCAAACCTATTGCAACAGCATTGCAAAACCAAACTCAAGTTTGATGGATCCCTCCTGAAAAAAAAGTTACATTAGTAAGAAACACGGAGAAGAGCATAAGCTAACACTTGGTTGTTTTCAGGCCCTTCATCTCAATTTGAATAAATTATACGGACACCCTTTTAGATTTCCTAAAATACACGCCATCCCTATGTCAAAAATGTCAGTTTATGGTAGTAAACATAATAGGTGAGACGACATTCTTCCCTTATTCATATCTATCAAACTTCTTCACCCCCACCCCCAGCATGCCCAGTGCGGGTGGTACCCTCCTCTGGTCGCAACCCCACTCCCTCCGATTTTACTCTGTTAACACATTTATGTGTGTGTATGTGTGATTGTTTTTCTGTGTGGTTGCATGTGTATATATATGTAAACACCCCTCTACATGTATAGTCCCCAATAGCTGTTTTTTGTGGTCTTGTGACCTCCCCTCAAATGCACTTTTGTGAGAAGCATGAATTTTCAGGCCATTCCAATATATGACATCCACCAATCCTGGGAGAAAAAGAAGAGTAAAGTGATGATTACAAATACACAAATGATGAAACAAATAAGCCAGGCAATGCCCTCGTGGCCTCACTAAACACCACTGACATGAATTTTTCACTAACATTTAGAATGAAGAGAATAAACTGAGTTCAAGTCTCTTTGACAGCATATAGCTTGAACTAAGCTACGAAAACGTTATTTCCCAAAGTGCACTAGAAGGCATTGTTGTAACCACTTAGATGCTATGGCTAACATGGGAAATGGTTCTGCAAAGCAGTGGAAGATATGCAATTCAATCTGTTCATCGCTTGAATGAACAAGACAAAAGGTTGGCCTAAGAATTTTTGACCATCGTAAGTTAATTTTTAAACTTTATGCTTAAGAAGTTGATATCTAACTTATTTCTTAATATATCGTTGTTTACATGAAACTGTAGTTTAAACTAAAGTTTTTGAATTCAACGTAAAAAACGCTTTCAAGGTTTTTTATACAAAACAACCATTCAGGTCTGAGTTATACATGTAGAATTTAACTCCATAAATCAATGCTCTAAATTACTCAATCCTGAAATGCACAAAACATATTCAACCCCAGAAAACAAACGTAACTAGTAGCAGTGTTTCAAAAAATCAAGAGAACATACTATAATTGGTTATGAATGTACAAATGTTTTGCCACTTGGTTTGATAGGAAACCACACTCAAAGCCACAAACATAAGCACAAAACAAGAACCAAGAAAGATGATCACAAGGAAACAATAAATCCCAATTCAAGGAAAAAAATTAGAAATTTCTGGGATGTCCTTGTAATTATTTCAATAGTAGCAACGAAGATCAGAACAAAATAATACTAAACTAGTCAAGTTGTTCTTCAGACATAAACAAAAATGATAGTAAATTATGAGCTAAGCAATTTCGGCTGAAGACATAAAGAAATCCAAAAGAAGAATTTCATATGAACAAGTGATTGGCCCATCTGACTATACATCAGCTATAGTTATATTAGGATTACAAATAATTAATGTCAATAAGTAGCTCAGAACTAGTCAATAAGACAAGCCTGGATGTTTTGTTTCTGCTGTCCTTTGTAGCAATAATTTGGAAGAAAATAAAAAGAATTAAGGTTCAATGGCAGCGTTTACGGTACACAACCGGATTGTTCAGAGTCATTACAAATTGCCCTGCACACCACGGAGTTGAGCCCTTTCTCTAGCAGCATTTACATCACATGAGAGTGAAGCTTTACGAAAACAAAACTTTAGGAAGAAGCAGATGCATCTTCTATATATAGACCTAAAACCCACAAGGAATGTACTCCAGTATTCACTAGAAAGAAAATCCTATTCAAAAACCATCACCTTATCACCATTCAATTTACACACAATAATGGCTTCATCACTCGAAAGAAAACTTATCATTGCTGCATTGATACTACTAGGAATGTGGGCTTCTCAGGCCACATCCCGAACACTACCTGAACCATCCATTTCAGATAGACATGAGCAATGGATGGCTCGTCATGGACGTGTTTACAAGGATATTGCAGAGAAGGAAAGGCGTTTTAAGATATTCAAGGACAATGTAGAGTTCATAGAATCTTTCAACAAAGTTGGGAATCGACCTTACAAGTTGAGCATCAATGAATATGCAGACCAGACAAATGAGGAGTTTAAGGCCTCTCACAATGGATACAAGATGCCATCCAATCCAAAGGCAATGAAAACTACGTCGTTCAAGTATGAAAATGTGACTGTAGTACCAGCTAGCATGGACTGGAGGAAGAAAGGAGCTGTTACACCTATTAAGGATCAAGGTCAATGTGGTAAGGAATCCCCTTTTCTAAACTTCACCATGTGCAGCTACACTTTTCAAATCCATGAATTGTTTTTTCTCACCAGTGCAATTCTATCAACAGGAAGTTGCTGGGCATTTTCAACGATAGCAGCTACAGAAGGAATTACAAAACTTACAACTGGTAAATTGATCTCACTGTCCGAGCAGGAACTAGTGGACTGTGATAGAAGTGGTGAAGATGAAGGATGTGAGGGTGGCTACATGGAAGATGGGTTCGAATTTATCGTCAAAAACAAAGGCATTGCCACTGAAGCAATTTATCCATACCAGGCAACTGATGGAACCTGCAACACTAAGGAAGAAGCTTCCCATGCTGCCAAGATCAAGGGTTATGAGAATGTGCCTGCCAATAGCGAGAAGGCACTACTGAAGGCTGTGGCCAATCAACCAGTTTCAGTTTCCATTGATGCAAGCGGAGCTGCGTTCCAGTTTTACTCAAGCGGGGTTTTCACAGGAGATTGTGGAACCGATCTAGACCATGGTGTTANAACCCCTTGAACTCCCAGGTCGCAACCCCACTCCCTCTATACATGTACATATGTACACCCCTGTTTCCTGACAACTTGGACCTTTGCCCAACTCTCTCTCTCTCTCTCTCTTTATATATATATATATATATATATATATATATATATATGCACATCAATCACAAATATNTTGGTTAGTCAAGAATTCATGGGGCACCACTTGGGGAGACAAAGGGTACATCATGATGCAAAGAGATATTGGTGCCAAAGAAGGCCTTTGTGGGATTGCCATGGATTCTTCCTATCCAACAGCTTAGATATTACCACATGACTTGTGAATCTTCAATCTAATATCGTACTATATAGTCTTGGCCAAATCTACTTGTGCAAGTGTGCTGTGCATTAGGTGCATTTAGCCTTGTAAATGATGCAATGCAGTTCTTGAGTGTATAAAATTAAGTAATGAATTTTAAGTATCCATAGAACATAAGGTTAAATATATTTCTTTTGGGTTAATGAGCTTACTTACTTTACTGAAAAAAGAAGAAGAAAACTGCTTAGAACAGTCTAGGTCTTTGCTATTGGGCTCCAAGTTCCAAGCAAAATTCAACTGGGCCCCATGAACTGAGATAGCTCATACAGCAAAAGGTGTAAACATGACCAAGATGAGAAGGATGTCCACACCAGGCAACTCTAGCTGGTTGATTTCCTTATGTTTACATTATGAAGCATTCCAAACAGTTCAACCCTCTACTGCATAATATAAGTCGTAAATCTGATAAATCCCTCTTGACAATAGAGAATCATTTCGAAACCACGCAGAACAAAGGGTAGCAATTAGTTGTTTTATCACTTTATCCTTCATTTCAATTTCAAATAAATCATATTCACTGCTCTTGGGAATTACTGAAAATAACTCTATCCTCTATACCTATTAAAATTTCAAAAACCAAAAAAAAAAAACCCTGTAACAGTTTGCCAGTTGATATGGTTAAACAAAATGTCTCTACTTCCCTAGATCTTTTGTGTTTTACATGACTCGTTCCCCCCCCCCCCCTTTT